AGGACGGCCATGTAGTACACCGCCACTTGGACCATGTCCGGACACGCTCATTTGATTCGCATGAGCTGGGTCAACAATCGACTGCTACTGACGCAAAAACAGATGGGAAATCGGATTCTCAGAATAAGAAACCGCAAACTGATGCGCAACAACCTGAAGTAAGAAGTTCGAAACGCACGCCTAAGCCAGTTGATCGGTATCAACTCGGAATCTCCAGTCATTACTAGGGAAGAGAGGGGTGTCACGTATGCAGTTTTGATTCGTGAACACTGGCACTCACATGATTGGTTGACAATGATCTTGCCTTAGCTTTCTTAATTCCTTGTCTCGGCATTTCTAGCCACTGAAACAGTTCCACACTACGCCCGCGCATTCTGTTCCATCTATCGGCTACCGGCCACATTTAACAATACGTTTAGTAGTGATGAATGTAGAATCAAGCTGAACATCGGGCTACAGATAATAGAGACTCAGGTATATATTCTAAGGAAAGGAATAACAATCATCACATAAACGTCTCCCAACATAAGAATGAAAACATCTACGGATTTCACAGTTATCATTTGCTACCTGCATACTCACAAAGCGGAGGGTTACGGTACCAAGTGGAATAAATGTGGTTAATTACCGGTACTCGCTCGGTAGGTACCTGGGCTTGTACACGTGAATAGTGGTTCCACATGGCGCAAACTGATCTTTCCGTCAATATATCTGTCACCGGGAACACAAGTATAGGTTAGCAAGTGGGACAAGTTTGTTTGGCTCAAACCCACTCTAAACTGGGCACGTGAAACGCCTCACATTACTGATAACGCAGATGAGATTGGGATCTACAGTCTAAGTTATGAGGGCAAATTCCGCCCCATCCAACAGTCAAGTCATTCCATATTACCTGAAATCAACCTAGATCCAGGGGACAGATATCCCTTAATCGATCATCAGTTAGACGGACCAGAGCTAAATACAGTCCGGCGGAAACAGTGACCAGGAAACGGACACCTCAAATGGTCCCGTGCTAGAGCTGGAAGGAACACTTGCAGCTCAGAATGCCTAACTGCATACAGGTTGTGCACTACAGAATGCAAGGGTCATATTCATCACTGCTTGTCAGAGCGCAAAATACTAGCAGTAACTGCCCTCAACCCGCCAGTCACCAGGGATAACTATGGTGCGCTAACTATCGCGTGTAGTAATGTTTCCGATTTTAGGTCAAGTAAGATAATGGGTGAGTGTGATGGAATTGGAAGTTGGGCTGAACCCACCATGATGAGAAGCGTCACACTACTCTCCAAATCTGTACAGTCAAAGTAGACCTTTGATAAACACATTTTTTCCTGATATGACAGAGACCACCCTACTGTCGAGGCGATGGCTTCAAAAATTATCATGCGCAGTGCGCATACTTCAGATATCCCTTAGAAATATCGCCCAAATGAAGATTACAAACATGCCTTCAACAAAGCATGAACTTTCAGGACAACTTGCTTCTTCTGGGACCGGAACGTTGATGCATGGCGGGAGGCAGGGTTGCTGCATCCACGAATCCCACTCTCATGCTATGTTATGGAGTCGATGGGCAGAATTCCGGGGTTCCCAGGATAAACGTTAATTCTAGCGATTTCGAAGACATTTCGCTTCCAGCTACATAGTGCCTTACGACTTCTCTCTCATAGTGCATCAACGGATCACTGTTGCTTTCGTGCGCGAGCAATTGTGGTTCACACTCTAAGAACATACGGGACTTGTTAAATACTCGCGTTATTGCCCGCGCTAACTCATTGTTCGTTGTAAGTTGAAAAAGCAAGAAGTGCTATCCACAGAACATACACCAAGACTGTCATAATATTAGCTGCATTAAAATCATAGTGCGTAGCTTGGTACGTAGTCAATCGCAATCTAATGAAGACAAAAGGGTTTGTGTACTACGGTTATCGACCAGTGAAGCTGCCGAGGTGCACTGGTTTACCTGCCATTCAGCCGTTTGATCATGCACAACTATGACATCGCGACTCAACGCACCACTCCATTTGTGACTGTTAGACAGCGCGTGCAGTGTTCGTCACCCGCAATCCTTTCATGGACGAGCGCCAGGTAACTAGAGCGCAGGGATACGGACGAGAGGTTGTAATGGAATGCGAACAACTAGTGGCTCTTTCCGCCAACAGAATCTGGTAAAGGGGTGAAAGTTGAGTATGCTCCAACTCCTTGCCTTACATCGACCCAACATCATTCTAATGCATTAAGAGTCGCATTCCTGTCAAGCAATCCGTCAGCGTCTGGGTGACAAGGTGCTCGCGAGTGTGTCCGACAGACACCCCTGTGCCACACGAATACGTACATTTTGATCTATAACTTCACCCGACATCCTATTGGATGACGGCAGCTACACGACGGTGCACGCGGGCGACAATGACCGACGTATGGATGAACTAACTTGTGTGATAACAGAAGAATTCGAAACATCTACAGCTTAACTTGATTCCAATATGGACCAAGTTGCCTGAGAAATGGCATAGTGAATGCCTGTTAATGAAACTCTTCGCAAGCGAATCCGTTACTTGGTTACAGATGCTGCATCTCGGAAGACTCTATCAGGCTCGTCGGTAAGTTGATCCCAAGTTCTGATTCAGCTCGGAACGGGAATTAGGCGTTACAACTCCTCCGATTTCTCGAAACACATACCTTACCAAGTCGTAAAACGCAAACAGCTGTCCGGCTACATCACCAGACATTTCCCCTTACTTGAAACACGATTTAAGTAATTCAAAACTTTTGTGAAATCTACTCCAGATTATTGTACTATAAATCCCAGTCAAGTAAGGCAGAATAGAAATGTCCAAAGATCACTTACTAAGGTGGTCATGGGGCGCTGTTCAACCCTGAGTTCCTAAGATTGTTGTAGCCACCTCGAACGGATCCCCTGTTGGGACGAGTAAAAAACAATCTGATGTTCCGCTTCAACAGGATAAATAAGCGCATTATCACAGAGTACTACCCTTGAATAGAAGAAAACTGTCATCTATTTTACCCGAAATGGTGGCTATTTGCTAACCTCACAGCTTGCTAGTAATAAAATTCGAGCAATTTTCTTGTAAGACATGCTAATCTATGGAACCGACTACCACTAAAAGTACAAACAAGCGCCAGCCATGCCACATTCCGAAATTTTTTAGAGTTTCCTCACCATACCGAAGATGTTTAAGTCACTTGGCTCACAATAATCCCCAGAAACATTGACGGAAGCTGGTCTAAACAATGTATGAACAGTTGGAAGCTTACAATCAGTTTACCCTCCTTATAATCACCCATGAAATTAAAGTGCCTGTGCAACTTACTCTTCCTTACACTACTTTCGAGTGTCGTGACTTAGAAAATTTTGAAAACAGTGGAACAAATATGCGTACGCTTTGTATTTTGAGTGATCGAGTCGACGATCCGAAATACTATTTTTATATTTAGTAGTGTTCTAGGCCGCGTAAACCATGACACCACTTATGTGTACAACCAATCGCTCCCAATTAGTGGCCGTATACAGTTTTTCGTAAATATACGAATTCGTTTTTTACTAGGATGCAATGGGACACACTAGCAGATTTTCTTAATTTGAGAATACCTAGATTTTTAAGGAACAGAACTCAGTCATCTGTCAAGGAGTCCACCACAACTCTTTACTTGCATTTCCCATGGCTGTAAAATAAAAAGACTAAATCGTGACAACTGTATCAGCGACGTTTTCATACAAATTTTAAATGAAAACCCCACGATCATTTTAAATGTTTGTAACTAACCAATTCCTTCTATCTTTTGCATGCTATTTACCAGTTTTGGAGCACCGTAAGAGGTACTATCTGATGTACTAAACGGAGTTGAAGGGAATAAATCAATACGGGGTCAGCTTCGAAAGTAGAAGCCGAGCAAATCGAGGATGTGTTCGTTGGAAGATGCGATGATTATTTGTGTCATCTTTACGTACCACAATGAAGTCACTGCAAGCCGTCGGTTTCTCAAAACCTAGTGTGCAACTAGCGCTGAAAAATTTATTAGTCTGTCACGTTGTGCATCCAATACTATTGCCAATGAAAGTTTAGTTGCTGCTTGTATTCCTTACAAATTCCGAGTAACCTACTTCAAGCTGTGCCAACAATACAACGAAATAATCTGCATTATGCACAACCATCGCACACCGGGAAGAGAACGCATTAACACAAATACTGATAAAATAAAACAACGCAGCTCGTTGATAGCTCGCTCAACATGACTGTTACACATGGACAAAAACCGATATCACAGGAGAACTAGCATAAGAATGCAAGACTGCTCGACTTCAACATGATCCCATGGGAACAGTGGATAGCATGTGAAAAAAATGTTAATGCGGGATTTAGGCGTGATAGGATGAGTTTTCATACGACAAAATAACAAGGGAAGTCAAAGAAAGCAACTAGGCACGCGGTGAAACAGTGTTCACGGCTACCCCAAATGACTCAGTGACCGATAGGCTGTGAACGCACTCTGATTAGCGCGATGCGTACAATACACTATAAGTTTCCAGGAAAACATCAGTACGCTGTACTAATGTCTCATTCCTGTATGATAGGGGGTCCTACTCGTACAGGAGCATGGGATCAAACCCGGGGCATAGATGGTTCAGGCCGAACGCCAGTATGGCAACGCGACGGATGCATCTGCATGGGCGCAACTGCAGTATCCCAACCCGCACGCAGCCAGTTGCAATCGCACGGTATCGAATAACTAGTAGATTATTAGTGTAGTGCTGAACCCCTTTTTGGAAACCCTAAAAAGATGGTCCCGTGTATAGACACCGCGTTTGCTCGAGAGGGTCCTTCTGGAAATGGGTGACGTGGTTGGTGTCTGTTTAGGGTTAATACTTGTAGAGGTAAATGATCCAAGGTAAAGATGATGGATATTCAGAAAGCAACAGGCTTCACCTGTTACTGGCTTGGAGCAAAAGCCAAGGAACCAGAAAGAGCCACAGTTCTAGGAAAGAATATATATTCAAGGACGTGACGAAGGAGAACACCTTCAAGTGCTTGGTGAGTACGGTCTTCAGTGTAACCATATGGTATATTCACAGTCCAGTGATTCGACGTGGTCTGAAAGCGCTCATCGTCAATTCATAGCTGGTAGAGTCTCAATAAAATTCTAGTCAGTTGTTATGTACAGTGTGGTTAGACAAAAGTCAAACATCCTCCATATCTTCATCATCGTCATCATCAGGGTGACTCATGAGATCGTCTTCTGGGTCGGCCAGATCTTCCCGATCCTCATGCGATATAAGGCGTCCGGAGCCAGCGGTAGATGAGATATCCTGCCGAGAGTCACAATTCACTGAACACACGATATCACCCAATGATGAGCCAGCGTTAACGGTATCGGAAGGAACAACGCGGTCACCAGCCACGAAGGGGTGACCTGAGGATCCCGAAGGAACTTGCGCGCTCGGATGTTGTCGATGACGAAGAAGACCGCCGGGACCGCCGGGAACTACGTAACCGCGTGAGGCAGCAGCGCGAGCATAATGTTGAGTGTCACCAGGAACAAACCCACTTGAAGAGATAGTTCCAGAACTGGAAATCAAGTGTCCATCATCCGGATCGTCCACAGAGCGCGACACGTACAGCTGTCGCAACGTGTTATCACTAGAGGAGCATCTGATGGCACTGCCAAACAAACTGCCGTAATGTGCGCTGGAATCCACTGGTGAATGACGAGAGTTATGCACGCCAGGCCGGTGCCCAAGTGGTTCACCATGCTCATCAACTCGATTGCCGGCCTGATTCGCAACAGCAGCCAGGCGAGCCTCAACGAATAGGCGGCGTTGCTGGTGCAAAGCATCGAAATCCGGGACAATTGCCGGTCTACGCTCGTAAAGGGCTGGAATGAAAACCAGCGAGTGTAGTATCAGAAAGGGAGGCTCGTAAGACAGAGGACAGTAGTAAAGCAGAATATGGTACGCACTCAGGAAATTAAACGGAGATGAGAAAAATCAGTAGTATAGTAGAAAGTGGCTTGGTAAAAGTGGCTAGCGTAAGAAACAAAGGTGGATAGGGACAACTAACCTTCTACATAAAAACGAAGTGAAGGTGGTACGAGCTCCAAACACTGATTGTATTCTTCTTGGGTGCAATGAATGGTTCCCAACCGCAACATCAGTCCCATTCGCTTTAACGTGTCAACTTCATCGCGAATTTCAAAAGCCTGGTCGAAATTGAATAGGTATTCTAACCTGCAATAAACACACAGAAGGGGGCAAAATGTACCGGGCAAAATCTGCTACCACGAGTGATTGAATCTTATTCCATAGAACACGCCGCGAGAGAATGCTGAACATTTCACGTGAGACATAAGAATCAAACGGACTAAGGGAATGCGGAGAAGGCAGTAGGATGACGCCGGAAGCTTGTTAGGTTTGCCACCCCTTGACTCAACTATACACTGCATTGACGACCAGTTTAACCTTATGAGACATTTGCAGGGCACAGCTTCTTCGGAACATCAGAGATTCGAACCCAAGACCCCGCGATCTGCAGTCAGCCACCCATGAAGCTAGACGATGGGGGACAACAGCGACCTACGGCTAAGCTACCAACTGTGGTGCAATTCATCTTTCACTAAACAGTAGATCACTATGGCGTAAGGGACGGGTTTGGTCTGAGATGCATGACAGTTCTCATTACACTTCCGACGAGCTGACATCAGTTGGGCGATTACTGGAATAGAAAAAAGCGCGTAGAGTAACGGAAAGACAGTGATGGACAATGAGATAGTGTTGAGTGTAAATCAGAGCATCTAAACGGCATGTAAGTGATGTCAGGGAGCGTGGACGCTGGACAGTGAGCGGGGAATGACGTTCAACGTTGTGCTCTCGAACGAAATGTCGGCCTGGTGCAGGTTCAGGTAAATGAAGAGAATAGAGCCTGATGCTATGAAATGACACGATAATTGGTGTGGCTAAGCGATATAAACCAGCAAACGTCATAAAATGCACGCAGTAACGCAACCCAAAACGAAAGGCAGTGGGAAGAATGAGTCATCCTCAGAATAGTAACAAACACTCCACATGCCAGGAACAAACACATATACAAAAGGAAAATATCGCACATAACCCAACAATTGAAGGGCGGTCCCAAACAGAAAGTACCGCGCACACTGTCGAAATTCCAGTCACAACGAATAAAAAATGGAGGAACAACGGCTTAGTGAAAGTCACCAATTCCCAGAAAGTGATAAGTATATCCAAACTAAGCCTCCTCGACAGAGCATTCTGTGACCCATTAACTGCAGAGTCCTTCAGAACGGCCATTCTCAACTGGTTCCCTCAGATAAGAATAAGTTCCTCGAGTCCTATCATTGGCAGCATAATTCAGGGAAGCGTACACAGTCATTGATGTTCCTGCTCGGTGCTAATGACATCAGTGTCTTATCAGCACACAGCAGCAGCAGCAGCATTATATGCAACAACAGTACAGTCATTGGAACTGATGCTTCATTGCCGTACAACCAGAGTGACGTAGGGAAAGCAGAATAATAACAGGGAGAGAAGTGGGACCTAGCGCAAAACATTAATGTCCTAAACAAACATTTAGGATCAAGGCGGCTGCACTTTGTCAACAACATTACGTTAGAAACAGCTGGTTATTCTGCAAAAGATAAGACGGCATCGGTGACAGCTTCCAATGGCTTTCGTCGCCTCACGTCAAAGTCCGCACTTGTGTGCTGACCTGCGGATGCGTTTTGGCGGACGCCCACAACGACGAGGTTAGCGCATTGACACCAGCCAACTGGCGAAGCCAGCTGTTCTGAATACCTATCAAAGTACGCTGTCATGCGAGTTGGATAAACGCTCACTGGATGCAATTGAAGCTCACTGGTCTCATATTCACCAGACCTTACTAGCAGCAGGAAAATCCTCATGTGGTATGTCTAATCACCAACATGGACATTGGGTCTCTTCACAGTCTTTGGAACTTATCGATGCTCGCCGGCATATTCCGGCTGGAAGCGAACACAATGAAACTCGCAAAGAGCTCCGGGCAAAACTCTGTGCTAGCCTGAAGAGAGACCGCGAAGCCTGGTGGTCTCATCGTGCAACAGAGATGGAGATGGCCGCTGCCCTTGGTAACCATCGTAAGTTATTCCGTCTGATACGGGAAACGGGAAGCAGGAGACCTGGTGTTAGTGAAACTATACGTGACGAGAGTGGACAGCCTAGGCACAACTCATCAAAACGCTTAGAGCATTGGGCTGAGCACTTAAAAAGGCAATTTAATCGGTCGGAATGGTTAGATTTCTCGCCGGCCACTGATCGCCAAGCTCCGTGGGCTGTCCCTTTGGATCCACCCTCTCGCTCAGAAGTCGAACGTGAGATCGGACTGCTGAAGTTGAACAAAGCCGCGGGACCTGATGATCTTCCTCCAGCCCTCTTCAAATTCTTGGACCTGCTCTTATGGATGATTTACACGAGTTACTAGTCAAACAGTGGGAGCAGGAAACTGTCCCAACCGATTGGAGCCGCTCCGTCATAGTCCCAATTTTCAAAGGAGGCTCACGATCGGAATGCGGCAGCCATAGAGGAATCAGTCTGATCTCCATCGCCTCCAAATTGCTTGCCTCTGTCATCCTTCACAGACTGACTGGCATTCGTGAAAGCCAGATTCGTGAAGAGCAAGCTGGATTTCGTCGAGGTCGTAGCTGTAGTGACCACATCTTCACTTTGCGTCAGTTGTTGGAGCACTGTCACATATATTGGCGGCCCACTATTGTCGTGTTCTTCGATATCAAAGGTGCATTCGATTCGGTGGATAGACATGCACTTTGGGACTGTTTTCTCAGGAAAGGTGTCCCTGGGAAATATGTGAATATTATCCCAGCATTATACGCGCGTAGCTCAGGCAGAGTGAGGGCTTACGGCAAGTTGTCGTCGTCCTTCATTATCTCAAGCGGTGTGATACAAGGATGCCTGCTGTCACCTTTCCTCTTCAAGTTCTCTATTGAGGAAGTCATGGAAATCGTGTTTATAGGACACGCTTAGAAGGTGTGGATCTGCTCCCAGGAGAACGACTTCTTGACTTAGAGTATGCTGATGATATTGCCCTCATCTGTGACAGCTCCCAGACGTGCCAAGCGGCACTGGACAGATTAGCACTAGCTGTCCGTCACTTCGGGCTTTGCTTCGCACCCTCGAAGTGCAAAGCGTTCCTCCAAGATTGGTCTGGACCGCCTCCTACGCTGACCATTGGTGGGGATCAGCTAGAAGTCGTTCAAAAATTCAACTACCTGGGAAGTTGTATCAGTGTCCGTGGGATTGAAGATGAGATCACGAGCCGTATAGCAAAAGCTAGGGGCGCTTTTGCTAACCTTCGCCATTTATGGCGCCGGCGCGACATCACTCTTGCCCTGAAGGGTAGAGTGTACAATGCAGCAGTATGTTCGACCCTACTGTACGGTTGCGAAACCTGCCCGCTTAAAGCAGCGGAACGTTCGACCACCGGTGCCTTCGTAATTTAGCTCACATCTGGTGGGAACACCGCGTGAGCAACGAGCGTGTCCGACGCATTGTTTATGGCACAGGAAAAGGAACTGAACCGCTCAGCACCGTTATTTCACGCACCAGGCTCCGATGGCTCGGCCACGTGTTACGCATGCAAGCCCACCGACTCCCGCGACGTGTGTTGTTTGCGCGCCGAGGGTGTGGATGGAAGAAGAGGAGGGGTGACCAGAGGAATGAAGGCCCTCACTTCTGAGCTGGCCTCGGTTGGAGCGTCTCGGCTCTCTGGTTGGGGTCCGAAAGACGATGAACACGTTTGGTTGGACGCACTTGCTGATATGGTTAGGAGCCGATTTCAGTGGCGTTCGTGCTGTGAGTTTCTTTGTCCCACCCCATCCCTCTTAGCCTCCCCCTCCAACCACGATCTCATTATTTAACCTTATATAATTTCGCATAGTCATTTTTGGGTGCACAGTAGCCGGCTGGTAGCTTACCGGAACGATGCCCATCCGTTACAGGTAGCTCAGCCGACTTGCACCAGTTGTATTTTTTTCTTCTTTTTTATGTATTGCGGTACAGTAGCTGAGGTGTTCCCAACCTCTAGCTAACGTGTATGATGATGATGAAGTCCGCCATTACCCCGCAGAGAACACAGCACCAAACAAACTTTAAACAGGCAATGCGAATAGGAGACGACCGTAGACGCGCTATTGGTGCGAAGTGCGAGCCATGTCCCGTAAAGTCTCGAGCCATCATCATCATCATCATCATCATCATCATCATCATCATCATCATCATCATCATCATCATCATCATCATCATCATCATCATCATCATCATCATCATCATCATCATCATCATCATCATCATCATCATCATCATCATCATCATCATCATCATCATCATCATCATCATCATCATCATCATCATCATCATCATCATCATCATCATCATCATCATCATCATCATCATCATCATCATCATCATCATCATCATCATCATCATCATCATCATCATCATCATCATCATCATCATCATCATCATCATCATCATCATCATCATCATCATCATCATCATCATCATCATCATCATCATCATCATCATCATCATCATCATCATCATCATCATCATCATCATCATCATCATCATCATCATCATCATCATCATCATCATCATCATCATCATCATCATCATCATCATCATCATCATCATCATCATCATCATCATCATCATCATCATCATCATCATCATCATCATCATCATCATCATCATCATCATCATCATCATCATCATCATCATCATCATCATCATCATCATCATCATCATCATCATCATCATCATCATCATCATTATACAGATTAGCTAGAGGTGTAAAGCACCTCAGCTACTGTGCTGTAATACAAAAAAGCAAAATAAATACAACAGTTGCATGCCAACTGAGCTACCAGAAGCGGACGGACATCGTTCCGGATAGCTACCAGTCGGCTACCAGGCAAAAACAAAAATTATTATGTAAAATTATATTAAATGAGATCGTGGTTGGAGGGGGAGGCTAGAAGGGATGAGGAGGGACAAAGAAACTCACAGCAGGAACGACATTGAGGTGGGCTCCTAGCCATGTCAGCAAGTGTATCTAGCCAAACGTGTTCATCGTCTTTTGGACCCCAACCAGAGAGCCGTGAAGCTCCAACCGAGGCCAGCTCCGAAGTGAGGGTCTTCATTCCTCTTGACCAAGTCAT